AGGCAAGGGGTGGCCTCACGCTCCAGCCCTCCCCCAGCTCCCATCCCCTTCCCTCCACCTGCGGCACAGAGTCCTCCCTGCGGCTGAGACCCACCTCCAGCCTCATCGCACGCACGCCTGCGGCCCCGCGCTGGCAATGATTTACACCAGGATCTCCGAATCATTAAACTCCACCAGTGCAGCTGCAAAGCTGGGGGCACCTGTGCCTCCCCCCGGCTCAGCCAGGCTTCCCGCACCTCTCACTGACCCCCCACGGGCTGCCAGAGTCCAGGGACGCTTTGTGACTTCCCTTGGGACATCGCCAACTGTTCATTTGGCACGGGAGGGCTCGAGACAAGCCCCCTCTCAAGCACAGCACGCCCAGGCGCACCCCGAAGGCTTTCGGCAGGGACAACCACCAGCCTGCCTCAACACCAGTTCCCACAACGGGGATGCAGACCCCCCAGCCCCCGATCACGCTCCACTTCTTGCTGCTCCCAGTGAAACGCCGAGCCCGGCTGTCACGGCGATTCATGAGGAAGCGCGACACCCGTCACTGCCCACAGCAGCACCCGTGCTCCTCTGCCCTCCACAACCTTTGGATTTTTCCTCCCCGTGACATCATCTTCCCGCCCATGCTCCAGCAGCAACTCCTTTGCCACGGGATCACAAGGGATGAGCCTGCAGCTCGGGGAGCTTATCAAAGCCTGATGAAGTCACAGGGCACGGGACCAGCTCGCTCGCACTCAGCTCCAGGGCTTCCTTACTCCCGAGGAGTGCGATGCACAGCTTGCAGCATGCCGACGTGGAGAGATACGTCCCTTGAAAGCTGGTGTGCAACTCCAGCACCAGCTGTGCAACGCAAGATTAATCGTCTAGATTTTTTAGGGGGGGAAAAATAAACCTATTCTCCAAACATCCGAAGAGGCTGGAGCCTGCTGCATGCTGGCTCACATTGCATGGCTGGAGCCACAGCTCAGCCCCTTCCCACATTGTGACCACGAGGTCCTCCGGTGCCTCTCAACAGCAATCTGCAATGCACTGGAGAACTGCTGCTCCACGTGGGCATTTCCAGGGATCTCTGCACCTTCTGGAGGTGAAGCTGGAGGTGCCAGGGCTGCTGGGCGAGATGACTGGAGATGGGGGTAAGGCGGAGCCAGGCTGGGCTTCACCTTTCTGCCCGGCCCCAGCTGGGGGCACAACCAGCTCCCCCAAGGCGCTACCTTCATCTTCCTGCTTCCACCCAGCCAGTCTTCTCATTAACCACCTTCCCTGCTAATTGGGGACTGCAGCACACCCTCACAAGCTCATTCCTGCAGCGGCAGTAACCTCACACCGAGCCCTTGTTAAACAAAGACTCAACTCACCAGCAACACAAAACTCCACTCCAAGAAAGAAAACCAACAGGTCAGGACTCAGGCAATAATTTATCCTTTTTTTTCCCTTGATCCTTCTCACTGCCCACCTT